TCCTTGAGCTACGAGAGAGCCTAAGTAAATATTGTTTTAATACAAAACTGCATTTTTAATCTATAGCTCCACCATGGTATTCACAAAGTCAGCTTGTCTAGATTCATACTAAAGCAGTGCAGAAGCCATGCCTTCACAATTTGCTGCTATTTTTTTAAAAAAATATTAAACTTCACACATTAGTAAAATGTTTCCCATTCAGTTTACTAATTAGTGGAGACTAAAGTTATTTAATGGACACAAAACTTACCTTAATTTAAAAGTGCTGATACAGCATAGTAAATGACAGGTCAAAAGGTAATAAAGTAGTTATTACTATGCTGAAACATAGTTGGTAGATTCATTTACATGGTCCTGCATGTAGCTAGATAAAAAGGCCCCATTGATTTCCCGCTGACCCTCTTTCCCAAGTTAATGAATGAAATCTACTTGTGTCAAAGGCAGGCCTACGCCAGGAAGATCTGTTATTTGCATCAGCATTCTGGGGAAGATGCTGATAAGCAAGACAAATACAAGGATTTGAGGGAACTTCTGTCATAATTGCCCAGCATACCAATTTGGAGCATACTCTATTAAATCTCTGCGACAAGTGCTGCATGCTAATGGCTGGCTTGAGCAGTACTTCTTTCTTAGCATTACTTAGCCCGCTTGTTCCTTCTCGGCTGCATCTGAAGGATCTTCATTCTCTTGATTGCTTTAAAGAACTGCTGTTCAAAATTAGCTGAATCCTGCGGTGTGCCAAAAGCAAGGCAACAGTGGCAGAAAACACTAAGGCTTTATCAACATTTTGGCCTCTTTCCCTAGGCGTTCTCAGACTGGGTGGCAAATTGCAAGATTCCCAGAGGGCCTTAATTTCAAAAGAAGCTGTAACAGAATTAGGCAAATATAGAGTGGATCTTCTGAATTTGCTTTTTGGAGCTTTATACGGCACATTCATATTGCAAGGAAAAAGAGCAAAACAACCAGAAAAAGGGCAACCAACTTTTAAAGTGCATAATAGAAGGGACTGAAAGAATGCTTTCATTTCTGTTCTGGATGTCATCCAAAACCATTAGTCCTGACAACCTGATAATCCACACAACTGGTTATTGTGACCAGATGAGTAAGTGTGCTTTCAATTGAGGAAGAAGACGGTACGGCTACTAGGGATGTGTGATCCATAAAAATGGTTCAAAAGTCATTACAAAACTGGGGGGGGGGGGTTGCTGGCATTTCATTTCTAAATTGTTTCTAAAGTATAGGTAGTGAAAAATTCATTACTATAACGAGAGTAACAAAGTTTTGTAATTATTTTGTTATAATAATTGTGCATCATTACTATAATTGGGGAAACTTCAGGGGCTCCTTTCTCCCTCGTTTTTAAAGCTATTAGAGTGAAACTTGCCACAATGGTATGTAGAACACATTGACCACTGTTAATCCACCAAATTTCAGAATTTTCCACATATCCACTGATTTTGGGAGAATTTTCAAAGTTTTTGAAAACATTTTTTTAAAAAAACTACAAGAGCTATCTACTTGAATTTTATCTAGAATGCACAAGATAATCAGGGCATCAATCCCCAGAAGTTTCAGAAAGATTCACACATCTACAGATTTTTGGGGATTTTTAAAATTTTAGACAAAAACAATTTAACCTCTCTCCCCCTCCCCAAAAAAAAGTGACAACAGCAATCCCCTTGAATGTCTGTCTGTTTTTATGACACACAGCCACATAACTTCAATTTAGCAGATATTTATATTATTACTTACTTTGGTCCTCTTTACAGATTCAATAATTGTATTTATTATTATTGGACTGACTCTAAATGGCTAGTGCCATTGGGGCTTTTTGATGCAGAGCACAACATTCTGGGAAATGTAGTTTAGGGCAGGGCATTTTGCATTCTCTGCCACAGGGGACCTCACCTCCCCAAATTACATTTCTAAGAATGCTGTGTTCTCAGTCTCCCACCCAAGGTTGTTAGTCCCGCCCTCAGTGCCTTCTTTATGACAATCTGGCCAAAGAAAAACAGGATTGGTTTTTAAAACACTTTATGTTCTTTTGGCTTTATCAAAGTTGCTGAATGCTTATACTGAAAATTAAACTGACCTTGGGAGGCATCCAAATGTTACAGAACCTTAACTAAAATGATTGGTGAGTGTTTTGATTCTTAAATCCCCCCCCCCTTTCCTGCATGTTTCTAATATCAATTTGTATTTGATCTGAAAAACAAATTAAAGCAAAATTTTGCACACCCCTAATGGCTACATGTATGGCTCTCTATAAAGAGAACTATAAGGAAATAATGTACCACTACTTTTCTTAACTGTTTTAGCCACTAAATTCCCTTTCCTTCCATCACTGTAGCAGAAGCTGTTTTCAGCTCCCAGCAGTCTGGCATACAAAGCCATTAACTTCAAGTTACAGTGTGATACTGTGGTTATTTTCTCAGAAATAAGTCTTGCTGAGTGCAATAGGCCTTACTTCATACTAAGTGTCTTTCAGAATTGCAGCCTTTATTTCCCACAAGATCATTTTGCTGATCTTTTGTAGACCGAAGTTGTACTCGACAAATGCATCTATTGATTTCCACATGCTAAAAACTCAGACATCCTCTCATCTTTTATACATTTAATTTTGTATTTCTGATCGTCCATTTCTATCTTGCTTTAGTCATTTTTCTCATTCATGGATCTCTGTTTGTCTTCACATCAATTTATTAATATGGACAATATCTCATACTTTTTTGTGGGTACAGCATTACATAATGGTTTGAGTGGTTTGAGAAGACAAAGAGGAGTGCAGGACACCAGATTTCTTTGCTCAGCCATGGAATCTCTTTGGTTGATGTTTGGAGGAGTCACTGGATCTCAGTCCATAAGGAAGGCAATGGTAAACGTCCCCTGCCATATAAACCCATGATAAGGTCATATAAGTCAGTGTCAGTCTTCTTCTTACCTACCTCTCTTAATGGCTCGAGGTGGATTGCAAAACACCTGGGGGAGCAGAGTTTGAGAAACACTGGTCTAGTGGATGGAAAAGCCAATACTATTATTGTATTTCTTCAAGTCGTTTCTGATCTATGGCAATCGTAAGGTGATCCTATCATAGAGATTTCTTGGCAAGGTTTATTCAGAAAGAGATTGCTTTTGTCTTCCTCTGAGTTTGAGAGTGTGTGATTTACTCAAGGTCATCAAGTGGATTTCCATGATTGAGCAGGGATTTGAACCCTGATCCTCAGAGTCATAGTCTGAGGATCAGCTCAAGCCACTACACCACACTGGTTCTAAGCTAATGTATTAAGTGTTACAAATGCTGTATTCATCTTCAATAGGCTTCTAAATTTGTTTTAGTGTTTAATAATCTGCTATAATAACAGTTGTATAGTAGTATAGGCTTGAATTGTATTTGTAGACCTGTTTAGAGTGAATGCTTAAAACTTATTACTAATACTAAATGTAAAAATAGCAAAGTAGCTAGCCTGGGCAATCTATGAATGGAAAAATTAGGAAAAGCAAGATGCTGGCTTCTGAAGCTGCTGAACAACTTCATTGCATCCTCTCAGATCCCTAAAACCTGAAGGAAAACAGAAGTCATAGCAATTTTGAAATTAGGCAAAGACTGTAATGATCCAAAAAGCTAAAGATCAGTCTCCTAGTTGTGCCACCTCTACAACATCACTAAAAACACTTAATAATCTAAAACATTTTATAAAGCACACATATTTAAACATATATTACCTTGGCTGCTGTTTAGTCAAAGGATTCCTCACAACATAATAGTACAGTACATTTAAAAGGGTGTTTCCTTTTATTCGGGTCTCTCTTTAGTCTTGTCATGCTACCTAGTTTTAAAAAGATATGCATACATAACATTTACCTGGTCTCATATTATCTCTTGCACTCAGAGTTCTGCTATTCAATTATTTTTACTCCAGCGTGGGAATATATATATATATATATATATATATATATATATATATTCCCGCGCTGGAGTAAAAATAATTGAATTTAGTTGCTCTTGCTCGTAGCGACATATTAACAAAAGTGAAAGAGCTGCTGTTTCATGCAGCTTGTAGAAATATACCCCCTGACTGTAATATTCAATAAAATGCCCTCATGTTTTAAACAAATGCTTTAGAATAACCTCTGCTACAGATTTTATTATATTCTGAATTTAGAACATAATCCTATAGTCCTTTGAATGGTGTCTCAAAAGCATTAGACCATGATAGAGTTCCTTCTCCACTTTGGAAATCTCTCTTTATTGAGGTATGAACATCTTGTTGCTCTACTGTCAATCTTCCAATAGTGAAGTGATATAACTTTAAAAAAGATAAAAATAAGAAACCTTTAGTCTTGTGGTAAGCCCAGCTGGATTCTAAATTTGGTGGTTCCTCTCCCACTTCTTCTCTTTCAGACTCTAAAAACTGATATGCCCAGGCCATTATATTTCTCTGCTGTTATATAAAAAAGCCTAATGAATACTTCTTTCAATCCTATTCTTACCTCAGGTTTTCAAGAGATCTCTGAAAAGTTAATATAGAGGTAAAACTAGCGCAAAGTCTCAAGGCTACACCAAAACAGATTCTGTTTAATGTACTATACTGTAGCAGCAGCAATCCAAAATGCTGCCAATGTTGCCAACCTTTTTGCCATAGTTTCAGCAATTGAGAAGAAGGAACAGAAGATGGATGCAATGACACCAACCAGAATAAGGTTTCCTGGTCTGACCCTGCAGCTGGAAAGAAATAAAAATAAGACAGCCCTCCTAGAAGTTAGGCAAGATGGTTTGGGTTTTGCATGTTTCTTAGATTATAATCTACATGGGAATTTGTCCAGTTCCTTTTTGAAGTTGTCATCACTACAACTTATTGTGTGAAATTTTGCAATTGAACAAAGTGCTGTATAAAATGTTGCTTCTTTTTATCTGTCCTTAATCATGTACCAATAGTTTTCAGTAGAAAAGGGATCTTGGGTTATTGTACTATGAAAAAAAGGAAACAGAAGCAAAGGTATCACAAAGAATGACATTTTTTATTTGGAAAAGCCATCATAAACTCTAGCCCACAACATCAGATAAAACAGAATCCATCATTTCATATGTTTTCTAGTTCTTGCCTCTCCAGTCCCAAACTAAACAGCTTCAAACATTAAATGCTGGGGTTGAAGTTTTAAAGAAGAGCATTTTATAGAGATTAAGAACGATTTTAATGGAAGACTATAATTTGCATAAAGGCAACCTAGACCCTGTATAAAATCCAGATTGTCTGCTTTGAACTGGATTATTTGGCAGTGTAGAAGGCCCCCTACTGTAATATTCTGTAGATCATATTGTGAACTTTGCATTGTTCTTGAAAAAGTAAGTCCACAAACACAGACAATAACATTATGAATTAAAAGTGGAAATCTAGGTTAAATCAAACACAGAACTCAGTACTTTGTACAAAAGTAGTACCAATCTATTTGAGGGCTACAATAATAGCCTTTCTCTATGCTGCAAAGTTACTGCTGAGTTGGAATAACATAAAAGAAATAAACAAAACATGCTGCTAATGTATTATTATGAAAGGTTGTCAATGAAACCAAAGGTTAAACTGAGACAAAATGCACCATATGGCTGAAGATCCTAAAATGATTTTAAATCCATCAGTATTATGCTGGGCCAAATATATTTGTCAGCTATCTTTGATCTGAGGAGGAAATACATGGCTAGCTCCTTCCTTTCATCTCTGCTGGATCTTTAAAGAAAAACAACAGCTCTCTTATGATTGTATTATCTGCAGAAAAAGAGAGAAAAGAAATTTAGAAAAGAATGAAACTTAACCACAATAGTAAATGTATTATCTTGCTTTGACATTCATAAGCTGTTCACAAAAATTTACATAAATGCATTAAATGGTGACAGAAAATCAAGAAATTTTGAAAGCACAACTGCAGATTTGACATTTTGCCTACTAATTTTTTTAAATCAGGAATTAAGCAACCTTTGTGTTCATTAAAAGTTACCCCACTGCAGATTTTTTAATTTGCTGAACAATGATCTGCACAATTTTCAAATTATCAAGAAAATTTGTCTGACATTCACATCATTTTATAAACATTCATTGACATTACAGTATTATTTTGATGATGTAAACATTAGCCAGACTCATTTGGATGCCTCTGTATCTTTCAAATAATATAATTTAAAACAGTTCAGATGAAGAGTAGCTTTAGAGTTTCACTGACTCAGAGTGCATCTACACTGTAGAATTAATGCAGTTTTATACTTTATCTGCCATGGTTTGATACTATAGAATCTAGCATTATTGGGCAGAGAAGGCTAAAAACATTGTAAAACTAAAGCTCCCATGGGTCCACAGCACTGAGCCATGGCAGTGTCAAGCTGCATTAATTCTACAGTGTAGATGAATCCCCAGTGTCATACAAGTTTGAAAATGTGTAACTAAAAGTTGCAACTTTCACCTTATCTTGTCAGTTGTGTGCAGTTCAACTAAATTTAGGGTTAGAGAAGATACAACCCAACAGTGGCAGGAAAATTTGCACAGCAGCTCAGTAATTATTATATAGGTCCTGATTAATGACTTGAACCAGTGCAGTTCAGTGTGGGAAACTGGACTATACTAGCCTTGGGCAAATCATTTAAGGCCATACATTGCCACAGAATTAATTCTGATATCATCCAAATCAACTAGGATAATACATTCTATTGAGATGTGTTTACAAAGGAAATGTTTACATTACTTTAAGTCCTCTCGGATGGAATCCTGGGTTTTGCAGTATCATAAGGTATTTAGATTTTGCTGCTATAGAGCTTTAGTGTAGGGCTGTGCACATATCTGTTTGGGCTGAAATGGATTTGGAAAATTCAGTGATTTGTTTGTTAAATCCCAGAAAACAAGATTTTTTTTGGGGGGGGGGGCAGAAGTCTGGCTGAAACAAATCAACAGATACTTCTTTTCAATAGAAAAAAATGAGGGAAGGCTGCAGCATTCAACCCATTCTGGATCTGTTGCTGCAGAAGATAATGGGGTTAACTGCACTGTACCTGAGGGCGAGACCTGCTGCGGGCACTCTTTCTTTGTACCTGGGCAGAAGGTTGCCGCAGGGGACTCATTCTCTTATTTCTTTCCCCGGCAACAGCGTCCATTTCTTCTGGAAAACTTCCCTAGGTCCCTCCTCCTTTCTCAGCAGCACTTGCATGGGGTGGGCATTGAAAAGCTTCTGAGCTCCTCCCGGGGTATGATGGGAGTTCAAGTTTCTCTCTTTCTCTGTTTCTCAACCAATAAAAGGCCTTGTTGTGTTCATGCTCTGATTGGCTGAGGATGGACACAACCAGTGACTTACAATTCCCAGAGCCCTCTCTTGTGGTTTGTCTTATTTTAAAGACTGTTATTGTAAAAACTGAAGATATTCCAAAAAGTTTGAACATTGGTGAATTTTTATGAAACTTGGCAGGCCTGCAGTTATAAATGTGGTATAAAACTGATATAGTCTCGTGCAGATAGGTCTAAAAATGACTGAGAAATGAGCCTTTAAATTATCCCCATTGTAGCCAATGGGCTGACTCGTTCCTGAACGAAAATGGCACTTCCTCCCATTCCCCCAATTTCAGCAATTTTTTGGTAAACAGAATGAGGGGTTAGCCAAAAACAGGACTGAAAAATGGCATGGCTTTGTGCTGAATTGCACACCCCTACTCTAGTATCTCAATCCCAATATTTCATATGAGATAATCATGAGAGTTAAAATGGAATAATAGTGCTATAGTTGTATAGTATGAAATAGCCACAAACTGGACTAAACACACAGGAATATTTGACTTGGCTCTAAATCACAGGTGAAGAACAATGGGGACAAATCCAGTCTTCCTGGATTTCTAATCAAATACCCAAATAGCACCCTCCACAACACTGTCATGTTTGGTTTTCCCAGCTTTTAAACACTTCACTCATTTTAAATGTTTGAAATATGTTTCATAAGAGTCGCCTGCTAGCAGTAAGAGCTGGAAATTACATGTACCATTTCTTTGGTACAATCCATCACTGGAATGTGGCCTTCAAGAATTTCTATGAAAATGCCTTGAAACTGAATGCAAAGGATTACCTACATTTGATCTGAATATTAGCTGAATTACCATGATTTAATAATAAGTAAGTGCTCACATTGGACACAATGCTATTAGAGTCATTTTGTATAGTATTAAAAAGATAGATAGCATGTACACATCCAATTAGTGTTCAGTTCCAAATATAGGCATATGTCATGTTAGCTCATAAAGGTATACTTGAAGCATAAATGCACAAGGCAGCTTTACACTGCAATGTACCCTTGGAATATTACTGTTAGCTACAACATTCCTCTCTCTTATGTTTCCCTTTTAGATATATATTTGGGCTAGTCTTTAATGAAATGCTTTATGGGCACTTCTTAGTAAATTATATTTTACTCCAAAAGTACTGAAAACTGGAAAGTGAAAAATAGTTTTGAACAAATAATATTGATGCAATGTTATACCTGTCTCTAATGTTTTACCTTCACAATAATGCCTCAAGTGTAAGAGTAGTGATTCTTTACCAAATTAGTTTTTAAAGCAAGCAATAAATAAAGTCTTCAAAAAGCTGCTCACTTTTCAAACACTTAAGTTCAGGACTTGTTCTGGACAAAATTCACATGGGAAATTTTTGTACAGTAGACATTATTTTGTGAGCAATGTATACATTCATACATACATATACAGGCAGTGCCCATATTACAAACATATGACCTGCAAATGTCTCATAGTTAAGAACAAGAGTAAGACAACATGAAGTGATAGAAGCTTACCCTTAGAAAGGGAGATTCACTCTTGCAAGAGTTATCATGGGGAAATGGGGCTCCACTGAAGCTTTATCACCAATCCTTGTTTCCACAACAAGCATTTTTTCAAAACCCAATTATCATAGAGACAGAAAGTGAGGTGAAATCTTCTGAACAGGGGCACAGGCAGCAAAAGAAACACTACAGGGGTATTAATCCTTCCTTATGCTATCCAAAGCTAAAAATATATGCATTTTTGGCTAGAGTTACACTTTAAAATGTACCTATTCCAACTTACATACAAATTCAGCTTAAGAAAAAACCTACATAATCTATCTTGTTCATAACTTGGGGACTGCCTATATCCGGTAATGCTATTTCCTGCCATTTTTTTTACAGACTACACCTTTGCAAAGAGTCTAGGTTTTTTCTTGTCAGGGTTTATCAACATTCAATAAATGTTTTTCAACAATGTTTTGAATATTTGTGAATATATTTATTCCATTTCTAGTTATGGACAATAGTTTTTGAGCATTCACTTAAATGGTCTGCACAAAAGTCTATTATCTCGCATGTGTTTTTAAGAATAGTTTTACATTAGCTCTGTCCATGGAATGGCTAGATAATCTGTCCTTTCAGTCTGATATTTGTTTAGGACAATCCTCTCATCAACACAGTTCTCACATTTTTCTGAAGGTTACACAATATGGTGAATTAGGGTCTATCAACATGGGCCACATAACCCAAATCAGGCAGAAATCACCACTGAGTAGCCATATGTTTCTCAGGGATTTCTAGCCCCTAAGGCAGGGTAAACCTGGCTAATCTGATTTTATCCTTTGTTATCAGAGGCTGAGGAATGCCACACACTTTGTGATGGTGTGAATACACTTTTTGGTGGTTCTAATTTAACTGGCCCAGTTCACAAGGGCCAGTGCCGCCATCCCATTTTTCCTACTCTTTGTGGCACTTACCACAACATCTTTATACTTTTATAAACACTTATTCTATTGCCCACAAAAACAAACAAGGCCAAAAAACCCATCCAGAAAAAAACATGCTCTTTTAATTACAAAGCTATTTTAGATTGGGTTTTTTTGTTCATTTGTTTTGCAGTCAGCAATCAGCTTCTTAAACTTAACTACTGGAGTGAATAACTCCATGTAGTGTAATCATTAACACAGGTTTCTTTATGTGCTAGCCTATGAAATTCAACAGCATATTCATAATGCTTCTACCAAATTAGAATAATTAGATACATGAAACTGAATAGGCAAGTCAATAAAATTTAATCCTGGAGATAAAATTGAAAGCCCAGCATAAGTAATCAACCTACCACTTGTGTGTGTTGCATCTGTACTTTAAAAAGATGTCACTATGGGTATGTACTTTTGGCTCTTCTAGAAAAAAAATATTCTGCAACATTATTATATAATGGAAAATATCGTATTTCAGATTGTTGCAGGAGTATACAGTTTCCTTAGCAATAAAACAAGACATGTAAATAAACTGTAAAATGACCATCTCTATGATAATAAAGGAAAAACTGGACAGGTGTCTGTAGGGAATTCTTTAACTGGGGCTAACTGGAGCTAGCTATAGGGAGCATACCATCCTCCTATTAAAGCAGCTCCACTGGCTTCTGATAGGTTTAAGGACCCAATAAAAGGGCAGGTTATTAACTATAAAGCCCTATACACTTCGAGACCGCATCTCCTTCTATGAACTGGCATGGACTTTTAGATCTGGAGGGGAGGCCCTTCTCTAGGTCCCACCTGTGTCTCAAGCATGGTTGGTGGGAACAAAACAGAAGGCCTTCTCAGTGGTGCCCCCCCCCCACCCCCGCCTCTGGAATACCCTTCCTAGAGATATTAGGTTAGCTTCCACTCTCCAAGCCTTTGGGCTAGTTCAAAACATGGATTTTTAGACAAGCATTTGCTCTTGTGTGATCTGGGGTCAGATTGAGGATTCAGCGATTGCTTCACTCTGCCACTTTGACTTGTTAACTGTTGATAGCTAGCTGTATTTGCATGTTTTACTGCATTTTACAAATTGTACAATTTTATCAGATGGTGTTTTATATATGATTGCTGTTTTTACAATTATGTTTATATGCTTATGTATTTTTGTTATATAAGGCACTTGAAATGCCTTTGTGAGCTGCCCTAAGTCCCTTCGGGGAGATGGTGGTGGGTTAGAAATAAGGTTTATTATTATTAATTATTATTATTATTATTATTATTATTATTATTATTATTATTATTATTTTACTTATAGACTATTTAATTTTACTATTGCAAATAATATCCTTTGAGCTGATTTCAATTCATCTCATCCTAAGGCTGTGGGGTGGGTGCAGACTTAGCATGGATTTTAATGGAGTCTTACAAAGTTTTCTGCTCATCAATATTTCTCATTGCTCTCAGAAGATATTTGGTTTTAAAATGTCAGCACAGCATCTTATTAATCTGCTATCAATTGAACAAAATTAACCAACTTTTTATGGATGCATAATTCATCCTTCATGGATTACCCATCATCTTTTATGACAGATAACAGCAAACATTGAAATCTGTTGGGATTACACAACTACCGAAGAATAGTGTCTCTTTGCCAATTTATTTTGTACAATCCCATTTTTCAGTGAGGAGGGAGATCTGTCAGTGGAAAATGCAATAATATTTATCACATCTCTGTGCGTGGGCATAAGACTGCCTCCTAATGCTTTACTTATGCAGTAAATATTGAAACAGTTTTTTTTTAGTATTAAAATGCTGTTACTGTAATTTCCATTTCAGTAGTAGTGAGTTCACATTCATGTACACTTAAGGTCCAATTTGAGATCTCTGTCCTCTGAAGCAAGCCCTATTGAATTCCATCAAGCTTATTTTGAAAGTGTATATAGGATTCAAGCATGTGAATAATTTCTCTAGAAAGCATCCAAAAGTTCTTGAAAACTATGATTTTCTTAGGTCTTTGTGCTGTGAAATTCCTTTTGTTTAGACTTTTGAGCTCAGGAAAAGACAAACGTTCATCTGTCTTGCATATTGCTCTATCACTGCTGCTATGAGCATAACTATCAATGGGAGCAGAAAGCCTGTAGAAATGAAATTTAAAATGGGACAGTTCAAAGCCAGTTTGATCAAGAACAAACTAATTCATTTATGAGAGTTTTTCAAACTGAGATAAGCAAGTACACAGTCAATATTTGGCAAGAACCCTAAACTGAACAACAAATGATGCTGTATAAATCCAAGGGATCTTTTGTGAGCGTCCAATATATTTCCACAGAATACACCACAGACCCATATTTCCTTGACCATTTGCTACCATTGGCATGTGCTGATCTCCACTGGGAAGTAGCTGTTAAAGGGCTGGACTATGTGTTCATTAAAAAAATATATCCTCTGCCTTTCATTTCAAAAGAGTCCATGGTTTTGACCAGAACTTGGAAGTCATAAGTTACATATAGCACAAACTCCAGTGGCTCGTCCTTTTGTTTGTATTTCTAAAAGTAACATTTTAAAAATAATTTGGAAAGTGAAATGTAATTATTTTATTGCTGCTATGACTAACTTTTTACTTTTTATGCTAAAATAAAAAGGGGATTTTAGAATAATATTGATAGGCACTATAAGGGGGTTTTGCGAGACAAGTCACTCTAGTTGCAATGGTGTGGTATAGTCATAGGCCTGAAATTTATCCCATTCATTTGATTCATGTTTCCATTTCGTTCTTCTCATTTGGATGGCACAAAACAGAAAAGGCCCCTCCTGGAACAAAAATGCAATTGGTATGAAAAGCAAGTGGGAGTAGATACCAGCTCCAAGTCTGGGTTGTTTTTTTTTTTCCTTTGGCTCTATTGCTTAGGGCCTGGCAGGACCTGCAACTGAGGAGTGCTCCTTACTTGGCACTCAGTTGCAGGCACCCCGGTGCTTTGGGCCTGCAGCCGAGTGCCGAGTAACGATCACTCCTTACTCAGCACTTGGCTGCAGGCCCACGTGCATAAGCTCAGATTGCGCCCATAGGCCCAGGCGCTTTGGACCTAAGGGTGAAATCCCCCACACCCCCAATAACAGACTGAAAGAAAACTGATCTTTTGGCCCCGAAAACAAAAAACAAATATCTGACCTCCCAATTTCTGGAGGTTCAGACGAAAATGGATCAGGGCCCCCACTGAAAGCCGAGACATGAAACAGATCGAGATAAGTCCCAAATTCACATGACTAGTGTAGTAATAGTCCATATTTTAGTTTTTGCAGACCATATTTTAGTTCTTGCAGATCACTGGTGATCCATTGATCACGGGTTTATCCAAGTATTCAATAAATATCATATATTGATAATTAACTGATGCATTTTTAGAAATATTACAAAAGACAAAGACTTAATAAGTTTAACATATTTTGTGTATATATTTCTCTTTACCCACAATCCACAACGACCAAAAATAGCATCTGATGCTTAATAGTAGTAGTGATAGAGAGTGTTATTTGTAGAAGCTCTGAATCAATTGCACAGTTCATTCATAATTTGAGTACCCACTACATTTATAGTATCTGCTGGCGGTTGTTAAGAATCAACATACTTCTGCTGTTCTATTTGTCTTAAAGTGCAACTCAATGCAAAAAAATTAAATACCTGAATGATACTATTTCAAGTCATTCCTTCTGTTCCAGCCTAAACAGGTTTCTGTTGGAAAATTGCACCACACATTAGAAAGCAGTTGCCATGACTTCACGGACAGTTCTTGTTCTAATTCAGAATCAAATCCAATGAATAAGAATATGAGCTTCCTCTATGTGTTTTGTGTTTTCATACATATTGTTCTCATTATTTGAAATCTACATCCATCACATTAGAGATCCAAAAGAGCAGTTGTGTGGATTAGAAATAAAATATCTTAATTCCACATATTTAAACACCCCAAATTCTAATCCAGATCAAACCTTCCTAGAAATAAAAGGACATACAGTTCACTCTTCCAATGTTCACATCATTTTGTTTCACAAAGGTTGGACCACTATACTTCCTCACTTTTCTATAATATTGTTTATTTCCCTGATTCCAGTTTAATCATATAGACACATACAAAGAGAATGAGAAAATATTTATCTCCAGTCAGAAATTACAGACGGTAATAAATACAGCCTTTAAAGACTGGGTTTCTCACCTAATAGATGGAAAAAAGAGGAAAATAATGGAGATAGTGGAACT